CAACCTTTCTAAAATATTAGCATCTAATTAAAATATATTTTAATTGATTATGACGCCCTTCCAACTTTGCGTGTTTCTTCCGCCCGTACCACCATTACTTTTGATCTTGCATTCCGTCGATACGGTTGGATCATGTCCATGTGACAGTAGCCCTCTTGTTATTAAATCGGGAGTTATTGGTATCAGTTTTCAGCTAAAGCTTTGACTTTTTAAATAGATCAGTAGCACTTAACTGTTTTATTGTTTTAACTTCTCCTTAGCATCGAAGACCGCTGGTTCCAGGAATCTGAATTGGCCAAACAAGACTATCGCGGTTGGCAGTTCATCCCCGTCAATCCTGCTGGTGTTCTCCGCGCACACAAAGACGAGTTGCTGCACGAAGAGATGGGACATTGGTTTTCACGTTAATTGTTGGGACAGTTTAGTTCTGTTCTGGCTGCTCTTGCTACGGTGTCATCTAGTTTTAACATAGTGATTTTACTTGTTTACTTTTCTGCTGAAAGGCGCCAGTATTTAGCTCCCATCGGCAAAATCAATGAAGATCATCGCCGTCTGGTGGATGTGGTGAATCCGAAATATAGTATGAGGAACTTGTACAGTGCCTTCTCCACTCCTTTGTCCCATTTCTACGGCAAGATGATTGGAATTAATAAGAGGGCTTTCGGATATATAGCTGAAGTGATGCATCACAAAGGCCACCTCAAGAGGGATCAATTTAGGCTCGAACGCCAGTTCTTAGGAGGACGGAGACACTTCTGTAGTTGGCAGTCTCATAAACTAAAACGTCAACTTCACTTTAATAGTTAGTATGCATTTCATTATGTTTGGTGAGTTAAGTAAAGTGCTGGGTCCTAAATGGAATTATATCGTTTTCCCCACGCTCTGCTATCACATTGTAAGTCCCAGTACCATCAACTGGAGGTTTCGAATGCAGTGTCTTACATGGTTCACAGTTTTGTCTGACACATTCCACTCGAAAGCACGCACGGGTTATACGTCGCCGGTGGTTACTAATTTACGAACTTAATTGTGTGGTCTTTGTGTGGGTGATGTTTTGGTTATTATTTTTGCGGATGCACATAAACCGGGTAGGTGCGGGCAATGGTTGAATGTGCAGCTGCAGTACAAACAGAGAGGGCGGATCTAACGGATGTTGGTCGGGTTACTGGAATAGAGCCCAATCGTGCCGAAACGGATTCGAAATTATCCAATCAGGCCAATACATGGTTAGAATGTGCGGTTACAGATAGCACAAGTTGATATTCTTTGCACTACAGGGGCGTTCCCGTTCAAGGGTGTACGCAGATGTCTGTTCAGAGCGAACCGAAACTAGAATATGATCTTGCAGGAGAAGCAAGATTTAGAATCCTAAACAATGATGACCTTCCATATTGTTGGAGATGAGGTAGCTGCACTAGCATTGTGCGAACCTGAGGGTGTCTAGAAAAGTCAAGCAGAAGTTTTAACACGCGTTGACGGTTGCTATTTGTCGGTAGAAATTGGGCTTGAGCAAGGGCGCGAGTCATTCTGGGCATACCTGCTTGTCGTTTCACCGAACCCTCGGGCGATTCAGGTGGTATCATAGATGGTTCAATTTCTACGGCCGATTGCTGTATCCGCCGACCGGGAGAGGTTTCTTAGGTGCTTAAGGGGGTCGTTAATTTGGCATCGAAACATCTTTCGTCTTGCCTGTGGAACCTTGTTGCAAAGTCACCATAGAATAGCCGCTTAGGTGAGCACCCGCTATCCGCTTTTGCGATGCGGTTGCCTCATCTTGTTCGACTGCGTAGGGGCTGAACCAGCACGCCCGCCGCATTCACGGCCTTCGTTTACCGGCCCTTTTATTTGGATTTTCCGAGGTCGATTTACGGGAAAGTAGTTGAGATTTCTCGTCGGTATTTTCATGCCTCCATACTCCTGAGGCCTGCTGTCTGAGCCGACAGTCCGGTGCATTATTTTTGCGCCGGGCGGGTATCTCATCGATTATTGAAGTACGCCGAAGACGTGGCGGTTGGCAAATACCGAGTAACGTCAAAAGCCGGGAATAAGTCCCAGCTAAGTCAGAGGCGAATAGTACTGTTAAATGCACCAGCACTCATCCACCCGATAAAAAAAGATAAGATTTCTGGGAATCATAATCGTATAGTACGAAAGAATGTGAAGTATAGTAATGAAAGGACTACAAGAAGGCGTAGGTATGGCAAGGCACGATCTGTCTGGATGGAAGTGGACGTTCGCCTGTCTGCTACATACCCGGTGGGGCATACAGCGTTGCGGGCAACTGCAGGGAAGGCTTTTGAAAGGTGTGGAAGTATTGGAAGCAGAGTGTTGCGGAGAAGAGTTCGGTGGTTGAGAAGAAAGTGGACATCGGCTGTTCTAACCGACATTGTTTTACACCATCCCAGATCCGCGCGCAAGTAAGTGCCATTTCATTCAAACAACCCATTAAATCTCAGGGTATCTTACATTACAGACCACAATTTTACCCATCAGAGGCCTACCTGCTGTTTGGTCACCGATTTTTAAAAACTTGAGATAGTGCCTTAAAGGCACGTGAGTTAGCCAGTGGCATTTGACAGTCATCGTTGGTTTAGCGTTTCCTCGGTCGGCGTTGCCCTTTGCATTTGCCTTATATCTGTGCTGAGGTGAAGGGACTCGGACTCCATTGAATGTCCGTCTTAAGTGAGATGCTTGGCGCACAGCTAATCTCGGCCTGCATAC